ATGAAAAATCATGTGCTGAGGAAAAAAATTTGAAAATGAGACCTACCAATTTAGTTATTTAATGTTTTAAGTTTTATTTTTAATTGATCATTCTACATGCTTATGAGGTAAAAAGTGATGCTTCCATATGTGTATAGCTCGCATAAAGATCAAATCAAGATATATAGCTTATCTATCACCTCAAATGCTTATTTCTTGGGGGTGAGAAAATTCAGAATCTTCTCCATTTATTTTAAAATATAGAATATTGTTAGCTATCATTACTCTACTTTGTCATAGCACACCAGAATGTATTCCTCCTATATAGTTGTAATTTTGTATCCATTGAACAGTCTCTGCCCATCTTTTGCTTTTCCCCTGCTTTCCCCAGCCTCTGGTAACCACTATACTACTCTACTCCTATATCGACTATTTTAGATTCTGCAAATGAATCAGATATGTGGTATTTGTCTTTCTGTGCCTGGCTTATTTTACTTAGCATAATGCTCTCCAGTTCCATTTGTATTGCTTCAAATGACAGGATTTCATTGTTTGTAATATCTGAATAGTATTCCATTGTGTATATATATCACATTTTCTTTATCCATGCTTCCACTGATGGACATTTGAGTTGGGTACTCATCTTGGTTATTGTGTATAATGCTACAATAATCTTAGAAGCACAATTATCTTTTCAACATACTGATTTTATTTCCATTAGATAACTGCTCAGTAGTGGGATTGATGGATCATATGGCAGTTCTACTTTTTATTTTTTTGAGGAAGCTCCATACTGTTTTACATAATAGCTGTACTAATGCCCACCAACAGAGAACAAGAGTTCCCCTTTGTCTGGATCCTTATAAGCAACTGTTAATTTTTTGGCTTTTGAATAATAGTCATTCTAATTGTGGTGAGGTGATATCTCATTGTGATTGTGATTTGGATTTTCCTAATGGTTGGTAATGTTGAGCATTTTTTCATATGCCTATTGGCTATTTGTATGGTACCAATTTAAACTTTACATTTCATCAAAGTTAATTCCTAATTGTTTAAAATTTTTTGTCAAAATAAAGTGGAAATGTGTTTAATCATGAGATTTGGGGAAAGGATAAATCTTGCCTTGCAATATACTAAAAACAGACATGAATTAATCAACAAACTACCTTAAGAAAATAACTTCGTGCGTATAGAAATAAGAAATTAAATCATAAATGTTAATTAATATGGCTATTAAAAAACAGTGTGATTGGAGAAGAAAACATAAATTATGGCAGAGTATAGTGGCTGACTCCTGTAATTCCAGCACTTTGGGAGGCCAAGGAGGGAGGATCACTTTGGTCCCTGAGTTTGAGACTAGCCTAGGCAACATAATGGGACCTTGTCTCTATAAAAATAAATAAATAAAAGATAGGTAGATGAATAAATAAATAAGATAACATAAAGTATAACATAGCTCTCTTTTTTAATCTGTTTTTACTTTTTACCCTCTCTCATTAATACATTGTCATTGAATTGTAAAGTCATCCCAGTGAGAAGATGATGATGTTGGTACACACTATACTGTATTTGTTGGGGCTCATAAAAAAGATACTCAAAAGTATGGCAACTTTGAACTAAAAGAGCAGCCTCAAGGTCTCTCTGACCCTTCCCCTCTCTGGAATCTCTTTCATTCCTGAAGTACTCGGTGTGGCATTCTCTAAAATTCTCTTATCTGATTAAGGGAAATTCCTCCAGAATAAGTGCAGTCGTCTTTGACCCTCTCCCTGATCTACATTAACCAGACAAGATTAATTCCTGTTGCAGGAGAGAAGACTAAAAGTCTCCATGCCCACGTTACCATGCCCAGGTACACTTTTCACTTATTTTTTTCAACTATTCTTCTAATGTCTGCTACCTGAGAGCCTTTATCTGTATAATAAGAAAACTTTTATTTTCTATGACATTTCTCTCCCTTCGCTTTCCCATGTTAGCATCTCCACCTCCCTACCTATCCATCAGAGGTCCCTGTTTCTTTCTATAGCTCACAGTGCTATTTTAAACTCCAGCCATCTGGACCTGAGTTTAATCTTTTACATGGCTCTCGTGTACTTGCACATTAATAAACTTGTACACCTTTTTTCCTTTAATCTGTCCATTGTTCATTTGTTTTATGAATTCAAATTACCATACCTTCATGAGATAGAAAAAAATCTTCCACCCCTACATATGTAAGCCTAGAACATATGACTATTAATGCGAAGATTGAGGTATAAGTAGATATTAGTGAAATTAAATATTTTATATAGAAAGCATTCATTTAAACATAGGATTTAATATATTTATTTTATTGCAAATAATACTAAATCATCAGAAAAAGTTCTACCATAGATAAATGAGGGTTGGAGACTGAATTATATACCTCTAGAAAGGTAATTGGACTTATGTTTGCAATAACATCTTTGACTTGTGGATCTGTATTAGCCTACTAGGAGTGTCATAAGAGACTGGGTGGCTTAAGCATCAGAAATTTATTTTCTTACAGTTTTGGAGGCTGGAAGTCCAACAGCAAAGTCCCAGCAGTGTTGCTTTCTGGGGCAGCCTCTATCCTTAGCTTGCCCTCGTAATACCTTTTTTTCTGTGTGCAGGCATCCTCGGTATCTCTTCCTCTTCTAAAAAGGACTTCAGTCATATTGAATGAGAGCACTGTCTTTATGATTTCATTTAATTTTAATTACCTCTTTAAAGGTCTAATCTCCAAATTTTGTCACACGGTGGGCAAGGAATTCAATATATGAATTTTGGGAAAACACAATTCAATCCAAAATATGTTTTACTTTCAGAACAATTCAGGAATGTGGTTATGTAGAATAACATCTATTCTACATATTCCTGGTAATTCTACATATCCATACCTACCTGAATGGATACAGATAATTCTGAAAGCTTTTAGGAAATATTAGCAGCACAATAGATGAGAGCTCAAAGTGTCAAGGTATTTTTACTTAAATTAAACATTTGTGAATTATAGTGTTGATCATAATTAATATAAGAACCATAGGAAAATAAACTTTTGTATAGGATATGCTCTGATAATTTTTACATATTATTCATAGATAGATAAACAGATCAACTGAACAGAGTCATACAAATGAAACAACTTGTAAATTTCCACAATAATTTGCTGTAAAGTTCAAAACATAAAAATAATATTATAGAATAATGTTATTGAAGGGTAGGGCCTACATTTAAAGAAAAATCAATTTCCATTAGATCTTCAGTCTGACATATGCTGAACATTTTATACATATATGTTGAATAAATTTGTTTATTAAAACCATGTGGAGCAAATAAATATAATGTCTGTTTTTATGAAAAAATGATTTATATAAAGTTTATCATTATTGCTAACTTATTAATTTAATAGAATTTAGTTTTTGCTCCAAATATCAAGGTCTACCAGGAATTGGTAAGATATGTTAGACCCACTCTCTATTTTCCAGGGGGTCATAGTATACAGAGAGAGATACATTATTATGAAATAGTGAAATATTAAAATAAATCTTCAATGATGTCCTGAGGTTAAAAGAAAGCATAGAAGAATGAACAACTCACTAGACCTGGAGGTCTCTGAGAAGACTTCACAGAGGTTAACGATATATGAATAGACTGCAAAGTATAAGCAGGTAAGAGATTTAAGGAAGTTTTCAGCAAAAAGAGAAATAAAATTAACTATTATGATGGTATAAAGAAGCATCCTGTGGAATAAAAAAGAAGACTCTTATTTATACTTATAAAAGAATTAGTAGGAATTGGACAAGAGATGGCTCTGGATTAAAAGTCTGGAGTTAAGCTATAAAATACTTCAAATTTTAGCCTCTAGCATGGTATCAGGTACCAGCAAGCTTTTCCTGTGAAGGGTAAAATATTAAGCACCTTAAGTTTTGTAGAACATAGCTCTCAGTCACAGCCACTTACCATTGAAGTGTAAACTACTTATAGACAGTACGTAAACAAAGGAATGTGGCTATGTTACTATAAAACGCTATTTACAAAAACAGCTATAGTTTTCCAAGCTCTGCTTTAGCAAGTGGATACAAAAGAATGGTCAACTTTTATTCAGAAACTATTATAAGAAAAATAAGTTGAAAATATTAACTTCATGTTTTAATTTGTCCTTTTGCAGACTTTCACTTTTCATTTTCACCTTCAAAGCCAAGCAGTAAATTATTTTTATTTCAAGGAAGAGACAGTGATTATCTTGTCCAATAAAAAAGCAAATAAAGTCAGATACAGTGGCTCATACCTGTAATCCCTGCATTTTGGGGGGCTGAAGCAGGAGAATCGCTTGATCCCAGAATTTGAGACTAGCCTAGGCAACATAGTGAGACCTCTATCTCTACAAAAAATTAGCCAAGTGTGGTGGCACTTTCCTGTAGTCAGAGCCACTTGGGAGGCTGAAGCAGGAGGATCACTTCAGCCTAGGAAACTGAAGCCACAGTGAGCCGTGATGACACCACTGCATTCCAGCCTGAGCTGCCGAGTTCCTGCCTCAAAAAATAAAACAAAATAACATAAAACTTAAGAAAAGTGTATAAGCTAAATTTCATTATTCTTTTTATCAAACCAAGACTTAAACTAGAAAAATGTATAATAAATTTGGGGAAAAGAGAGAATTTGATCACACAAGAAGTAGAAAATTGAAAAGCTAGTCCTTCCTGTACTGGAGGATTGTATCAAGAATAATGGAGAGTTTCTGCCATGAAGTGCCATGGTGGTGGGGGTAGGGGGGTGGATAAAGAATAGTAGAGAGAACAGCAAAAGAGTTAGGTGCTCTGGATGTGTTCATCATACCTCTTTAGGATCCAGTATCACATAAGGGAGGAGTGTGCTAAACACAGGAGTTACTGTGTACCACTAATATCAGGACTCTAGGTGGAGATCACTTTCTATGTTATTCCCCTACTCCACACCAGAAACTGGCCCCATCACAGTACAGTGCTACATACATCAGGGATAGTCAGAGTCCTGTTTGCACTCACCGATTGCCTCTGTTCTCAGGTGCAGTGGATAGAACCTTCTGGCAGTGTGGAACCTTCTGGTGCTCCATAGAGAAAACTGAGAAACAAGAAGCAGAGAAAAATCATCTTCACTAGCGGAAGACATGAATGAAATAAAGAAGGAAGAGAAGACCACAAAACAACCAGAAAAAAAATAACAAATGGGAAGGAGGAGTACGTCCTTACTTATCAATGATCAATGATAACATTGAATGTAAATAGACTAAACTCTCTAATCAAAAGACATAGACTGGCTGAATGGATGAAAAAAACAAGACCATTCATCTGTTGTCCACAAGAAACACACTTTACCTATAAAAACACACATAGACTGAAATACCGGGATGGAAAAAGAGATTCCATTCCAATGGAAAACAAAAAAGAACAGAAGTCACTATACTTATATCAGACAAATTAGATTTGAAAACAAAAACTATAAGAAGAGACAAAGAAGGTCACTATATAATTATAAGGGGTCAATTCAGCAAATGATATAACAATTTTCTATATATATGCACCCAACACTGGAGCAACCAGACATATCAAGAAAGTATTATCATAGTTAAAAATACAAATAGGCCCCAATATAATAATATCTGAAAACTTCAACACCCAACTTTCAGCATTGGATGGATTTTCCAGACACAAAATCAATAAAGAAACGTCTGACTTAATCTGCACTGTAGATCAAATGTATCTAATAGATATTTACAGATCATTTCATCCAAGAGCTGAAAAATACATATTCTTTTCCTCAGCACATGTATCATTCTCAAGGACAGATCATGTATTAGGCCAGAAAACAAGTCATAAAACATTCAAATGAATAATATCAAGAATCCGCTCTGACCACAATGGAATAAAACTAGAAATTAATAAGAATTTTGATAACTATACAATTACATGGAAATTAAACAATATGCTTCCTAATGACCAATAGGTCAATAAGGAAATTAAGAAAAAATTTGAAAAATTCCCCAAAACAAATTAAAATAGAAATACAACCTATCAAAGTCTATGAGACACAAGAAAAGCAATACTAAGAGGGAAGTTTATAGCTATTAATGCCTGCATCAAAAAAGAGGAAAAATTTCAAATAAACAATCTAACAATGCATCTTAAGAACTACAAAAGCAAACCAAACTCAAAATTAGTAGAAGAAAAGAAATAATAAAGTTCAGAGAAGATATAAATGAAATTGAAATGAAAAAAATACTAAAAATCAATAAAAAATTGTTTTTTTGAAAATTTTAACAAAACTGAGAAATCTTTAGCTAATCTAAGAAAAAAGAGAGAAAATCCAACTAAATAAAATCAGAAATAAAAAGGAGACATTACAACTGATACTGCAGAAATTCCAAGAATCATTAGTGACTGCTATGAACAACTATAGTACCAATAAGTAAAAAGTCTAGAAGAAATGAACAAATTTCTAGATACATACAACTTACCAAGTTTAAAACAGGAAGAAATCCAAAACCTGAACCCACCCAAAACAAGTAATAAGGTTGAAGCTGTAATATAAAGTCTCCCAGTAAATAAAAGCTTTGGACCTAATGGCTTCACTGCTAAATTCTACCAAACATTTAAAGAAAAACCAATACCAATCCTACTCAGACTATTCCAAAAAATAGAGGAGGAGGAAATACTTCCACACTCATTCTGTAAGACCAGTATTACTGTGATACCAAAACCAGACAAAGACACATCATAAAAAGAAAACAACATGCCAATATCTCTGATTAATATTAATGCAAAAATCCTCAATGAAATATTATCAAACTGAATTAAACAATATGTTAGAAAGATAATTCGTCATGACTAAGTGGGATTTATCCCTGTGATATGAGCATGGTTCAACATACACAAATCAATCAATATGTTATATCATATCAACAGAATGAAGGGTAAAAAACATACGATCACGTCAGTTGATGCTAAAAAAAGCATTTGATAAAACTCAACAACCCTTCATGACAAAAACCAAAAAAATTGGTGATAGAAGAAATATATCTCAACATAATAAAAGCTGTATATGACAGACTCACACAGCTAGTATTACACTAAAATGAGGGAAAACTGAAAGCCTTTCCTCTATAAGCTGGAACAGACAAGAATGCCCACAGTCACCACTGTTATTCAACATAGTGCTGGAAATCCTAGCTAGAGCAATCAGACAAGAGAAAGATATAAAGAGTGTCCAACCTGGAAAGGAATAGGTCAAAATATCCTTATTTCCAGATGATATTATCCTCTATTTTGAAAAACATAAAGACTCCACAAGAAACTATTAGAATTGATGAACAAATTCAGCAAAGCTGTAGCCTGTAACATCAACATACATAAATCAGTAGCATTTCTATATGCCAACACTGAACGATGTACAAAAAGAAATTTTAAAAAGTCCCATTCACAATAGTCACACATAAAATACCTAGGAATTAACCCAAAAAGTGAATGATCTCTATAATGAAAACTGTAAGACACTGATGAAAGGAATTGAAGATGACACCAAAAACATGAAAAAATATTCCATGTTCAGGGATTGGAAGAATCAGCATTGTTAAAATATTCATACTACCCAAAACAATCTTCAGATTCAATGCAATCCCTTTTAAAATACCAATGACATTCTTCACATAAATAAAAATATTATATAATTTATATGAAACCACAAAAGACAGAGAATAGCCAAAGCTATCCTAAGCAAAATGACCAAATGAGAGGAATCATACTACCTGACTTCAAATTATACTATGGAGCTGTAGTAACCAAAAGAACATGGTACTGGCATAAAAACAGACACATAGATCAATGCAACAGAATAGAAAACCCAGAAACAAATCCACACACCTACTATGAATTCATTTTCAATGAAAGTATCAAGAACACACCCTGGGGAAAAGATAGCCTCTTCAATAAATGGTGCTAAGAAAACTGGAGATCCACATGCAGAACAACAAAACTAGAGCCCCATCTTTTGCCATATACAAAAAAAAAAAAAAAAAATCAAATCAAAGTAGATTAAAGACTTACATCTAAGATCTCAAACCATGAAACTACCAAAATAAAACTACCAAAATGAAACTCTCCACAACTGTCTGGGCAAAAATTTCTTGAGCAATACCCCACAAGCACAGGCAACGAAGGCAAAATGCACAAATGGCATTTCATCAAGTTAAAAAGTTTCTGCACAGTAAAGGATACAATCAAAAAAGTGAAGTGATAGCCCACAGAATAGGAGAAAATATTTGCAAACTGCCCATCTGACAAGAGATTAACTACCAGAATGTATAAGGAGCTCAAACAACTCCATAGGAAAAAAATCTAATAATCTGATCAAAAGATGGACAAAATATTTGAATAGACATTTCTCAAAAGAAGGCATACAAATGGCATAGAAATGAATAGATACTCAATGTCATTGATCATGAGAGAAAATGCAAATCAAAACTATAAGATATCATCTCATCCCAGTTAAAATGGCTTATATCCAAAAGATAGGCAATAATAAACACTGGCAGCATGTGGAGAAAATGAAACCCTTGTACACTGTTGGTAGAAATGTAAGTTAGTACAACCACTATGAAGAACAGTTTGAAAATTCCTCTAAAAACTGAGCTACCGTAGTATCCAGCAATCCCAATGCGGGGTACACACCCCAAAGAAAGGACATCAGTATGTCAAAGAGATATCTGCACCTCCTATTTGTTGTGGCACTGTTTATAATAACTAAGGTTTAGAAGCAGCCTATCTGCCCATCAACAGATGTATGGATAAAAAAAATGTGGTACTAATACATAATCGAGTGCTGTTCAGCCACACAAAAAAATGAGATCCAGTCATTTACAACAACATGGATGGAAGTGTAGATCATTAGGTTAAGTGAAAATATGCCAGACACAGAAAGACAAGCATTGCATGTTCTTACTTATTTGTGGGATCTAAAAATCAAAACAATTGAACTTATGGATGTAGAGAGTAGAAGGATGGTTACCAGAGGCTGGAAAGGGCAGTTGGGGTGTAGGGGAGATGGAGATAGTTAATAGGTACAAAATCATCGTTAGAAAGAATGAATAAGATCTTCTATTTGATAGCGCAACAGGGTGACTATAGTAAATAATAACTGTAGATATTAAAATAACTTAGAGTGTAATTGGATTGTTTGCAACTCAGTGGATACATGCTTGAGGGGACAGATACCCCATTCTTCATAATATGCTTCTTTCACATTGCATACCTGTACAAAAATACTGCATGTGTCCCATAAATATATACATGTACTATATACCCACAAAAATTAAAAATTAAATAGAAGAGAAAAATTAAGGCCGCCATGCAAGCAGACAATCCATGATTCAAGTGGGGCACATGGCAGAAACTCTGAGACCTGTGCATGTGTCAGCTAAGGTAGAGCACCACTGGACACGTGGGAAGGTGCCAGGTAAGAGTTATACAGTTGCCAGGCGTGGTGGTTCACACCTGTAATCCTAGCACTTTGGGAGGCCAAGGTGGGCGGATCACAAGGTCAGGAGTTCGAGATCAGCCTGACCAACATGGTGAAACCCCATCTCTACTAAAAATACAAAAATTAGCCGAGTGTGGTGGCATGCACCTGTAATCCCACCTACTCAGGAGGCTGAGGCAGGAGAACTGCTTGAACCCAGGAGGCAGAGGTTGCAGTGAGCCGAGATCATGCCACTGCACTCCAGCCTGGGCAACAGAGTGAGACTCTGTCACAACACACACACACACACACACACACACGCACACGCACACACGCACACGAAGAATTATACAGTCACCACAGCAGAGGCCACTGGGTCAGATAAACCATACCTACCTCCATAATATGAAACACCTCTATGGGAAGAATGTAGGGAAGGTGGACAAATATAAAGAACTAAAATTTAAGAGACAGATAATTTTTCCTTACAATAAACCTATTTAACATACATGGAAAATAGACTCTCTAAATTATTACAAAAACTAAATTTTCAAAAGTGAACTAAAAACTAGTTTTGGTAAAGTGGCTTATAATACTGAATTAGCAGCACA